TTGTTGATGCTGAGTGACGGAGATTTCCAGATTGGTTGCAGTTTGATCAATGTGTTTCTCGCCTTCCCGATTCTCGATTTGACATCTTCGTCCGTTCCTCCTCTGGTTGAGACAATGCTCCCTAGATAAGTGAGTGAATGAAGTAACCTCTTTCAAATCCCTCCCGTTGATGGTGATTGGCGGTGATGTAAATAATATAGGTCTACGGATTTCTGTTGAACGAGACCAACTGATAACCACATCTGATTACACATATTGAGAAGTGGCCCTTCAGACATCAGAACAGGGGACTTCTTCATAATTATTAAAAAAAATACTGAGAAGTGTCACTTTCAGTTTCCATTAAAATACAATGCTCTGACGACAGTTTGAGTAATTTTAAACATTGTCTCTTGAAAATCTGTGCATAACAAACAGTTTACTAGTATTCTATTCTGATAGCTTTTCTTATTAATTTCACCATGTCATTAAATACTCTACATACATCAGTAAATATCTTGTTCGTGACAGAAGAACACAAAAAAACTCTTATTAATTTCAAAGGTAGTTAGCTCAACAGTTTGTTTCGTGAGATTTATGCGGCTTTCAAAACTGAAAATTCCAGGAAATATGTGAAAATAACAGCTAAAATCATACTACTGATATACACTACACAGTGACGTCCACACTATCTGCAGGTAGTCTGTGTGACCGTCAAGATAGATGGTAACTTACCATGGGTAAAAGCAGCAAACAGGTCCAGTAATGTTTTATTTTAAAACTTAAACTTAAATAAGAAGGTAGTGAGGAGACAAATAATGCAAGCTGATATCATTTTCTAGTTTCTTTACAATCACTTTACTACCAGCCTGGTTCACAACAGTGAAATAAAATGCTCGACAATTAATCAATATTCTCAAGACTTAGTTTGTAGGGATCTGGCTTGTTTCAAGTCTGACCACAGATTGATATCATTGAGAGAACTATTGGAAACCAGGAAGTACTGGACATCTATTTTGTCCTAGATCAGAAGTCACTGAATTTCAAATTCAGGACCCTCCGGTTACAAAGAAACCATTGATAGACCCCAATGGTCACGACTTCTCAATATACCTCTAGATCATTGGTGTCTATCCCATTGGGATTGACGACAAATACTCGCCGATGGCTTTGGCTGTTGGTCGCTCTTAAATCATGAATTGATAGGAGGTAGAATTCAAAGGCCATTGAGTGGGGATCTCAGTGACTGAATGGTCTATGAGCTTTCTTTGTAACCGGTGGGTCCTGAATTTGAAATTCAGTGACTTCTGATCTAGGACAAAACAGATGTCCAGTACTTCCTCGTTTGCAACAGTTCTCTTAATGATATCTATCCGTCGTCGAACGTGAATTAATCATTAATGTAGAATAAAAGTGCATACTAGTAGTCAGTCGTATTTTCGTAACAAAAGTGTTTATGTTAAAGTTGGAGGAGCAAACAGATACTGTGCTGTCGACCTTTTCGCTTTATGAACGTCATGTGGATGATGCGCTTATGACCGGTGATAACAATGAGTCAATGAACAGCTTCACTACTTCATTTACTGAACATAGACTATAAAATATTACGCAGGATGTTAAAGGTTGTCAGCAGGGTAAGCGACGTGCCACTTAACCAGCTCGTTAATATTCTGCTTGACAGGCACATGGACTCATGTGAAAAATGGGCCAAATCCATTTTATCTAACTCAAACCACCCTCTTCACTCACAACTCTCCCCTTTCATCTCATCAGGCAAAACCAGAAGCCTATATAGAAAACTATATGCTCGCACTAGCAAATACAAAAACTCAACCATACCCTACTTAGCTCGTGTTCTGTGCGATAAAGAAAGCATTAGGCGTGACACCCATAATTCATTAAATAGTCAGTAGAACAACTGGATCTCGTCTTTCCAACTCATATCATTTATAGCTACAACATTTTCTTTCTTTCTTTCTTTTCTTTTTCTCTCTCTCTTTGTTTTCTGTTATGTGCTGCCTTGTTTCTTTCTCCCGCTTACGCCGGTAAATATGATAGCACCTACTTTTCTAACACCTTCAAACACTGTTCAACTTTGGCTTTGCTACCGACATGCCAATATGTTCTTGTCATAATGAACTGAGATTTCCTTAGTCTATGTAGAATTCTATTTATTGATAATGTACTAACTGGATGCAATACTGTAGTAAAAATGCTGAGAGTTCCATTCTGTATCACATGTACTGTTTTGGAATAAAGCAAATTAGTATTATCCAAATATTTAGTTGACTTCAGAGTTTCAGTTAAATCATGTATTGAATAACCTGGATTTTCCGGTGACCAAGCAAGACAACTAAGCGATCATTATTAGTCCACAGGCTGACACGGAGTGTTTTGTTCCTATACCGTATAAAAGTTCCGCAGTGAAATATCTGTTTTCAAGACCTCATAAAATTTACACCAGTGATACTTTGTTGGATGTGCTGCAGTGCATAGATTCATTTCTGTTGGCTAACGGATATCCAGAAAACTTCATTCAATGTCATTGCTCTTTTAAGAGACAGCCTTCGTACCAACGAAAGCTATATTTATCAAACTACCATCCAAGGGTGATCCAACCATGCAGTTGACAGCCAAAAGGCTACGGTCAACTATCGAAAACGCATTCCACACCACATCAATATTCCTAACATCTTGAACATTTTCATTTCTTGTTTCTACCATTAAAGGAAGAAATTCTATGAGCTCGTTCACTCTGTGGATTCACACTGTATGTATAAGTTCAACTGCAGTTTTGGAAATACATATAAAGGTGGTTATGAAGTCACATAGAAGGCTGAATTGAAGTCCAGCATTATTCATCACATAGCATTCAATAACATCTGGTCACTAAATCCGTGTCTCAATTATTTCACATAATTTTAATTCAGATTTATTTTAAAGGTGACAGAAGCAGTTTGGATCAACAATATGCATCGAAAACTACGCGTACAGAATACACTAAGTAGACTTCATTCACTTCTTACAAAGGACCACTTAACCTACAAAAATACTATTGGCTATTAATATGTACTTTAATTTTATATCAGTGATTACATTAAGTTTCATTACTGTATCCCGTCCTAGTTGTAAGGTGATAGTAAAGAAATTAGGAAACGATATCATCTTGCAATATTTATCTTTTTAAAACCTTATTTAAGTTTAATGAAATGAATTAACTCTCATTTAAAGTACAAACCTAAGTAATACCAACTAATGCTAAGTGATGAATCTTAGCTGATTGTGTTCATTTACAAATCATTGACTATTGAATATGCCTCATTTATTAATTACTGCACCTGTTACCTGGAAAATTAACATAGTTTTAACAGAAATCACCGGCTTTTAGTTAATTACACAATCCTTATCCATATTAATATGCTTATTGCATATATATCACATAGTGAAATTACATAAGGTTTTTTAACATAATTCACTATTCATAATCCTAGCTGTTGTAAATACACAGTTTCGACACTAAATTTTTATGGTTTTCTTTCCTTCTTTACATTTGTTGTTGGGGCAGTAGGACTTTCCAGATGTCACAGACAGGAGTCAATTCATTCCTGTTGCATGATGATTCAATGAACAAAGCTGCATCCGTGGATCGAGAGCACTTCGTTGTTGGCGTTTCAATGACGTCTTCTACACCAAACTAAGTTGTGAGTGAACAAATTAAAATGAATTGTTTGATCAACGACTGAAGATGATATACGAGTAGACGCGCCTGCCTAATCCACTACTTAAGGAGCATAACTGCTGATAAAAATCCAACCCTTGAAAGGGATATTCCGTACCCTAAGTCTGTGTTTAAGATGTGAATGTTCAAAACAGTATGCAAGTACTCAAGTAATTTCACACAGGTGGTGGTCGTACTATTCTTCAGCATATCAGGTGAATGACATACGGAACAACGTCAAACACAGACGATCCCACTCACTGGTTTCCTAAATGCATTCAGCTAATGACTGATCGCTGCGACCAGTTTACATTTCTATCGAGGTAGTGTGCACGCTGTTTTCTCCTTCACGTCCCCAGTGGAACATTGAGGCGTCAAGCTAGTGGCTTGAAGTTTCTGTAGCAGTGTTTATTTTTACAGGATGGGGTTGCTAGCCTCATGCCCAACCCTTCCTTTTCACCAGCATTATTTCTGGCTTAGCGAGGTACAGGAGTGCGTCGGCCGGGATTCGAACTCCGAGGTATGTGCATGGTCACCAACGCGCTTAGTAAGCACGCAATCTAACTGAATTGGATATATCGTAGCATATCTGTTAAGGACAAATCAAACCAGACTGCTTGAACAGTATAAAGAGGGATGAATATCACTCGGACGGGGAGCATGTTTGACCCATGCAACTCTATTCGAATCTGACAGACAACCACAAAGTCACATACCGTTCTATCATCCCTGCCTGGTTTGGCAAAATAAAGTCCTGAAAATACTGACGTGGTATCTGGTGGCTTAAGTGCTCTAAAGTAACCGTTTCTTCACTGCTTAATTTTGTATGTCTATTGCGTTTCTCTGACTTTTCTGTTTGATTAACGAGACTGCAATCCAGAGATACAGGAACTTGATGATCTGTAAACATAACGAATTTTAAACGACGTTTATGTCCCTCATCACTATCATTGAACAAAAATAGCTGCACTACTCATCTTTCTTCAAGCAAACTACTTTTACTGTAAATCGTATACGCCCATATGGATAATAATCCAAGGAATCCGCTTTCTATATTGCATTTAAATAACTTTACGTAATCTCCTGAATACCACAGTTCAATTTTGCTTGACGATTCAGTATCTACAAACATTTTATGAGGAATCCCAAATCGTTTATTTGTAGATTATAAAACATAGGGTTGGTATATTTACAAGTATGTGATGAATTTCCTATACCATGTCTAACGTTTGGTATGTAGAGGCCTATAGGTGGTGTAAGAAGAACGCAAACAAAGAAATATTTATTTCACAATTCACAATAACCACTATATGAATAATTCTACTGCATGAATTGATCACAAATTATAATGGCATTTAGTATCACGAAGTCAACAGCGGCAAAGAGAGAATAACAGTTTTTAGGAATAGTTTTGTAGGAATAAAAATACACATATGAGTACGAGAAAAGAGAAAAAAACAGAGCTTTGATTGGAATGAGTCATTACTTAATACAATAAAGTGATTAATATGACAGGAAACAATATTATGGAGGAAAATGTACGACATATATCTTAAGACTAAAGTGATTAGATGACAGACAGTCTTACTTTTCACCTGATTTATGTTATCAAATAAACGGACTAGTGATTATGTATAACCACTGCTAGATAGACTATGAATTTCACGATGCAAGATCACTTGAATTTGTAGGCTTTGTATTAGATCGGCTAGATGATGAACCACTTTTAGCACCACTTGATCTCACTGCTGAACGTCCAGTAGAGAATATACTTGTCCAGGTGAAAAGCAACTTTCCTCTTTTAGTGTTCATTAGTGATACAAACCCTAAAGCTGCACCTTGTGCACTGCTAACCAAACCAGCAATACGACTCAAGATCGGTTGTTGAGGGAATAAACTGGCTAACAGCTGAAATATCCATACAGTGCCTAATGTAATTGACAGATGCAAGCATATTCTCATCATGTTACGATTACTTTTCTCAGGCGTATTACTTATCTTAGAATCCTTTTCAAGGGGTTTATTTTCACTGAGAGATTTAAGAGTTTTGTTCTTATTTACCAGCCAAATATACATACCAACTAGAAGTAGCACAATAGAATTGAATACTAACATCAAAGTAGTGGGTGTCAAAAACCAGACAATAAAACCTCCATGTTTTGTAAACCATGGTCGTTTATGAGATTCTATTGAACAGAAACCTGGACTGAAGTATTCCATCTGCTTCAGCGTATCTGTACAGTTTGCTTTTTGTTTGCCGCTGTCCAAAATTGTAGAATAAAGATAATGATCCTCGTCTATATTTATATGACATGGATTGAAGCGATAGAATTCGTTCAAAGCCAGTGCAGGCACAACAAAACACAATGGTAAAGCTATTGCAAATAACATCGAGAATAATGTACGCCGATGAATAGGCTTTGATTGATTTCGCATATCTGTTCGAGTCATCATACCCTACAAAAAATTGAAATGAAAGAAAGACAGTCGACAGAATTAATGGTCAATCGTAACAAATAAGATAAGTAGCATCTTTACTCTATAACCGATAATGCCTATTCAAGAATTCAAAAAAAATCTTTTGTAAACAAAATAGTATATTCTCCTCATTCACAGTTTAATTGAATTTCATGAGAACAACTTGTGAATTAAGTGAGCTTATTTTCAAAATAATCTCACTTAAAGATACAAAAAATCTATCTCATAAATGTCCTGTTGGAACTTGCTTTCTGAACAGTCACTCGCACAAATTTACTTTGAAGGATATATTGTTTTAGACCAAATCAAACAGTACCCAAGAAGCATAGTCATCAGTCAGACAGTTATCATATGTGGTGTTGTTTTCCAGTGGAAGGCTATCTGACTGAACTATCCTCCTCGATATTCACTATATTCTTTGCCCTTTTACTCATTAGCGCACCTATGCTTTGTCCAGCTAGTCTTAGTGTCCGATAGTAAAGTTAAATATGCGTCACAAGGTCCGAGTAAGTGTAAGTCATGAGTATTTCCCAATTAACCAGTCACTTATACAACTGACAGACTGATTACTTGTCCTGACCAAAGATTCATGTGCGTAGTCATATTTATGATGATATCTAGTGTAAATAAAGAAATTATAGATTTTAAGTTATATCCTTTCGATTGTTGTAGGTTTCACTAGCATCAAGCATTCCAATAAACCAGTATCAGTCAAAATTCAAACTGAATTTTACTTACAATATACAAAGTTATACAGTAATAAACTGTCAAAGTGAGACTTCTACAAGTAACTAGATATGCATTTTCTGCGCTTTTTTTGTCGATAACTCTTTCAGTCAAAAATAAATCATTCAATTGAATGTCTGCATATGTATGTCTAAATGTTAGAAGTGTAACAATACTCAACACACACTGAAAATTGGTACTCAGTATGAACAAAAATAAATAAAAAAAATATCACCGGCCTAAGCTTACTTTCATTTGACTCAAGGAATTTGTATTTCCTCCTGATCGTGTTAGCCTTTGCTTCAGATAGATGAAGCATATATGACACGTTTGAACTCCTCCAAATGTATTCATCAGACTTAGACCAAGCGTTGACATCCATGCGAAGGTTCCAATAAAAAAGTAGTGCAACAGCACTGCGATTGTAAGACAATTCCCCTGACTTGAATGGCTCTTTTGATTAATCAACAGAGGCAGTGTTAAATAGACTGATAACAATCCTAGCATAGACGTTGCCAATCCCATAACTAGTTGATTGGAAATACGACGTCGTAATTCACGTGTTGTTGAATAGACAATAATTAGCACACAAAGACTTAGTGCTGAGAATATACATATCAACAACTGCATTATGTCTAGGAAAGACTCGATGATTCGCAAAGTTTCATTATCCTCCACTGGGATTTCATCATCAGATTTTAATTCAAGATAATTCTGTGGTATAACCATGAACTGATGCCATTTGAAATCACTTAGACTGAACACATCTTGTGTACTTTTAGGTTTGAGATACTTTCTGTTATCGCATGGTCGTCTCAAACTCGGTGGTAGTTGTGAATTAGCAACACACAGTCTATCTGTATCTTGATATGTTCGACAGTGTACAAACACACTGTACATGTAAAGACGTTCCTGAAAAGTAGATCCCATTAGTTCATCACCTGTGACAACTGAATTTAGTTCATTATGACAGTAAGCGCAATAAATATTAGCATATACGCGACCGTTAACTTTAGACACAACTGGCGCCATCAGCCTAATATCTTCTTTCCTTATACGAAATGTTAGATGAGTTAAATCAAGCGAAATAAATTTTCGTGCAATTTTACTACCGTTTGAATTATCTTTCACTGTGTAATCGTCGAAATGAATAAATAAATCTTTAGATTTAGTACAACGTTTTACCAATTCTATTCCAGTACCAGATGGACATTGAGCAACAGCCATAAACCAACCACCATGCTTTTCCAGATCTCTGTCGTCTGCAAACGTTCGAGCTGTATGAATACAGTCATGTCGAGGCATACTTGATATATTTTGTAACTCTTTCTGCTGGATGAAATTTTGGTAATCATCACAACAATCAGATTTCATTGTACACATTTCATCGCAATAACAACTCCCTATTGAAGCGTTACATGTTTTGTTATCAGATATGGTAGATTGTAATTCGAGTTCATTGGATGCTGATGATTTTGTAACTTGAATTATATTAATTAACACAAACAGTTGTAATAAAATACATATAACTTCAATGTAATATTTCTTCATTTACAGAATAAAAATAGAACTGATGCATGTGCAGTTCCACCTGTTCCACTCTACTACGTCTACCATTTCGCGTGAAACTGACTCTAGCATTATTATTTATCTGTTTATCTTTTTCACAAAAATACCAATCAGAAATTCCCTATCCAGTAGCCAATCATTTTAGGCATTCAGTGTTAAAGCATATATAAAATGGGATTTCGATCACATTCAAAACGATGAAAATGATCGGATAAACACAAACACACACACACACGCCTATACACACAAGTAAACAGTCACAATTATCTGGGATAAATTTAGTAGTCACAACAAAGTTAAAATAAATTTACTGTTTTAACATATATATACACTGTCAAGTATAATTTGAGAGGAACATTCAATGGAGACTGATTTTTTATATCAGATATATTTAAAAGTATTGGCTTTGTAAGGATTGCGTTTGACTGGTTAGAGGATTTCATCGTGAGCTGACGTCATTTACAGCACCATTGGAAAACCCACCTAGGAGTATTGGACAGCCGGGGACCCACTGGGGTTCGAACCAACTTATCAGACAAAATCCATATAAAACCAAACTTAAAAATTAATCTGATGTTCATTAACGACTCACGTTATTCATGCGGTTAACCTGGAGTTCCGGTGGGAATCTGTGACCACTAAGGTATAGTAGATTAAAGAGGAGGTAGTAAATCATCGAAGAAGACATTGCAAAGTGGTTGCGCTATGTCATGAATCGGCAGAAGCTAGAATCCATGGGCTGGCCGTTGGATCGGTTCTCAGTGGCTTAATGGTCTACGAACTAGCTCTCCTTGTAACCAGAAGGTCCTCCGTTCGAACCCCTGTCGGTGGGTGCGTACTGCTGAAGATTTATATATATGTATATATAAGTGAAGATTACTGTAAGAGGCGATTTATTCCTCATAGCGGAATGAAATTACCAGTGTTGATACACCATACCGTCACTGGAATTTAACGCTTCTTTGATGCATCGATAAGTATTTCAAAACATAATTTGAAACTCCCATCACAGTTTTTAGGCTAATTCGCATTTCTTATTGATGATGATGTACTAGACTGAAATGTTAGTTCTCTTTGATCATGTTAGTTCCTGGTACGGATGTTTCAAAAATGTCTGAGGATTAAATTGAGACATTTTTGGTTATTGGTGACTAATAACCTAATCCAGGATACGCATTTCGTCCTACTTGTGACTTGTTATAAGGATGTGCCCGCATTTCTAGTGAGTGATAACAGTGTTCCTACTGAGACCCCGATATAGTTTCATTTTAGAAGTGGACTCCCTTTCACTTATGATGCATTTTCTAAGTTTGATGAAATTTATGTGAAATAGCTACTAAATATATTAATGTAAGATTAGAATTTGGACATTATGGTGGGATATAATTGCATATTAGAAAAGGTTATTTCATTTAACATACAGTGATCCAGTATTTATAACTGGATGACTCTTCGAGCACAGTTCACTGCTGATATTTGACATTACATCTCTGACTGCAGCAGTGGGTGACGTAGGTTTGAATCCCAGAAGAGATATGAGTTGTTCCTTCAAGACCACAGGTACGCCTTGCTCACAAGTGTTAACTAGTACGAAACCTAAATCCAAGGCTTCTTGCCGATTGCCTCAAATAGCTAATATAAGCAGTTTAAAGTGTACCGTGATGGTGAAACACCTAGAATGGTGGCCATATTGCAAAGCCTGATTGATAGAATTCCGTCTGCACCAAGCAAAGGACCAGACACATTAGCCTAATTACCAACTAGTGTCCAATCAGAGTACGCACTTCATTGCTCATAATCATCATATTAACGTACTCTCAAGGCTTCGTAATTCGCCTTACATATTTTTCTCTCCTACACTGTTTACTGCAGTTTTTCAAATATCCCGTAGAAATGTTGAGTCATTTCGATTACACGTATGTGGTGTTAAATTGATGCAGAAAGTTGCAGTAATTGACCTGTTTCTCCACCCAACTAAGTTAGATCACTTAGCTTACTTCTGCCATTGAAAATCATTTACCTGTATGTAATCACGAAATAGGGCCGAAGTGGGTAAATGCTTTCTAAAAAAAGTAGTATATTCAGGTAGAAAAAAGGATTATTCCTCGCATGCTTGTTTATCAAATAAACATTAAACAAGTGCAGGAGGATTGATGCAAAGCACTAAATATATTCTCCAAAATTCCATCATGAAACCACTCAGCCTAGAGAACATAACACAACTATAATGTTAGGCGCTAAAAAAGGCAATCCTAGACCAAAATTTCTTCCTCATGAGAAAAAAATCATCAGCTAGGTTTACTCATAACTCCGTGGGAATTGATATTCACACCTGAGACACGAATCTTAATCACTCATTACTGCTTGCTATTCATGCCAAAAATAATCTTACTCCTGAGCAATAAATAATGTTTACTATCTCAAAACTGGGATTTCTTCTTCCTGCTGACATTAGTGAATAAGAAAACAAAATACATTTAATTTAAATTGTCATTAAATGATGAGTTGTTGTTTTTTTTAACAAAAAATAATATCAAGAATCATTGAGTGAAACATGATACGTGAGGAGGGGGAATCAACATTCTTTTATTGATTAATCTTTTTGGCTAATTATACTCAATGCTTTTGGCATGACATTCGATGGCGTTATATTGAATACTCTTTTCAAAGGTAAGTCAGAGTAGCTAAAAAGGGAAGATGACTATCATCCTTTTTTTTCTTTTTTTGGTTAGATAAAACTGTTGTATTAGAAAAATAAAATGTCATTTGAAATTAACGATTTGCAAACTGGTTAGCAATTTGCCATGTACACAGTTTGTCAATGGACGTGAACATTGAACGTTTGTTTATTGGAGCTAGCAGCCATTGGTGGGCAACTCGAAGGCGCGAATGGTTCGATGGCTTGCAAGTTGGAGAAGGGCGGAAGGAATACGAATAAAAGTACTTTATAACTTCATTTGTCCTAAACATTTGTTTGTAGACTTTGCATTTTGTCTCGCTTTAATTGCCAAACAATAAACATTCTTTCGAGGAATACTGGTGTTTTGGATTTAAAGTTGAAACAAATACTTAGTCATTATCGGTTCAAATCGCCTTCGTTACAATAGGAACTTAGGGCTAAGTTCCTTGACACAGTTCGAGATGATTATTTCACCATATAATCAGATTACAATGTGTGGTCAGTCTGCTTAACACCATTAACTAACGGTGATCAAGAAAGAAACCAAATTTGTATAAAAATGCACATACTACTTATTGACTGAGGTGATTAGTCGTGTATCACTGATATCAACCAATAGTGAGTGGCACACACGGTTGATGAAGTCGCCTGCAAACGAGTAAAAAACGGTGGTCTGATGTCTAGATCACCTCAATCTGGCTAGCAAGCACGGCTAACTGATATCACAGGTATATCACAACTACTCATCTCCACAAATCAGTAGTATATATTTTTATGCACACTGTAATTTCTGCGCGTGATTCATATATACATACAAGCAGACTGAAAGTTATAATGACAATAGGAAACAATCTTTGATTATTATTATTATTATTGTTCCCTTGGGTTCCTAGTGGAATATAGGGCTTCAACTGCACGTCTCCACTTGCTTCTGTCTTCTGCTGTACTTTTCACTTGCATTCAAGTTAATCCATGCTGTTTTAGTTCCTCTTCACACGATCTCCTCCATGTCACCCTTGGACGTCCCACTCGCCGCTTCCCTTTCGGGTTCCACTCGAGCGTTGGCCTGACGCGCGATGTCACCCAACGGCCTCTTCAGCAAATGTCCAGTCCATCTCCATTTTCTCCTGCATATTTGTTGAGCAATTGGTTCTTGTTTTGTTTGTTCCCATACTTTCTTGTTGGTGATTCTTTCCGGCCATCTGATCTTGAGTATAGAGCGGAGACAGTTGTTGATAAAGGTCTGCAACAGGCTGTTAGAAATATTCTTTGTGACACACTGGCCAAGTTTCTGATCCATCAGTATAGAAGAACTGACTGACTTGACTGACGTTTGTACTGAAAATCCGAATTTTGCTGCTGATGCTGAGTGACGGAGATTTCCAGATTGGTTTCAGGTTGATGAATGTGTTTCTCGCCTTCCCGATTCTCGATCTGACATCGTCGTTCGTTGCATGTGCCTGTAGTTGAGACAATGCTCCCTAGATAAGTGAAAGAAGTAACCTCTCTCAAATCCCTCCCGTTGATGGTGATTGGCACTGGATGTTGCTGCTGCTGTTGTTGTTGTTGGTTGGTTATTTTCATAACCTCCGTCTTGTTTACGTTCACCTGGAGTCCTGTCTTCTCCAGCTGCTTCTTCGACCAGTTTGTCGGTTTTCGTTTGTAAGAATTCGATTTTTTGTGACATCAGACATAAATCATCCACGCGCGAAATCCAGGTCTTCTAGGTTCTTTGAACTCATAGTTTTTACGGTTTTCCATATTCGCCATTAAGTCGACTAAAATATTATCCAAATTACTCTCATAGAAGTGTAGTTTATTTGAAGAGAGAATGCGACAAAAGTGACAGGTAGTAAGATAAATACAGTAGTTTATTAAATATGCCATAAATAATCACCTAAAACACGGAATTTCTCATGAAATTAATAAATCCTTAGACGTAAATTAATGATCATTTCATTTCTGAAGTAGCCACTTTTGTCAAGTATGCTGATGACCTCTCTGTCTCCATGCCTGTCAACTCTCAGTCAGACTGTTCCAAATTAAATAACTTTCTCTCAGAAATTACTGAGTGGTCCTCTTCAAACGGTCTTAAGCTGAATCCGTCTAAATGTCAGGTAGTAAATTTCACAACAACTAGCTAGCTCACATGTTCCCACTATCATTGATGGCATAGAGGTTGAAATTACATCTAACGTCAAGTACCTTGGACTGAGTATTTCCTCCGATCTTTCCTGGTCCTCTCACATCTTGCTAGTTACTAGAAAGATGTTTCGCTTAACTTTCTACGTTAGGAAGTTAAGGCAGTCTGGTGTAAAGCAGTCTTTGCTTTCTCAGTTTGTCAACTCTTGTATTCTAACCATTCCACTTTACTGCTCCCCATTAATCTTTGCTGGACTACTTAAGAAAGACTTTGCTTTGCTGCACTGGGCACTAAAAGCTG